AGTGGTTACCTTATCACCCAACTTCTTGCTGTCCTGTGCTCAAGGAGATAGACTCGCTGATTGGTCTCCTGACAATCGCTGTCAACAAGTTACAGTGTGTAGTGAGTGAGGTTAGGGATCAAAAACTAGAAGAAATCTCATTCAACCCGTACCACTTCTTTACATGAGACAAAAGTACTATTTGCATCGCTCGCAATCGTGTAATATGTCAACGTTATTGTGGCAAAAAATTGGGAAAGGGCGAGAAGGATAAATAGCGAGTGTGTAGATTCAGCTATTTCATAAATTACAGCTCTAAGTGCGGGGGGTAGAATAGGATGAACTGTTTAGTAAGGAAGGTTCGAGAGACCTCTGTGTCTCATGAATGCGTCGGTCCCGACAGACACAGATGGACGACAAGTGGGACGAAAAAACTGATCCTTCCCTATACAAAGTGAGATGGGTTGGGCAAAAAAAGAGAGGACACATGTCATCTTTTCACAACGTGTACGCTCTACGAAGCAAGCAGACTTAGATCACACGTTTATAGAGACGTACTCTCAGCAAGCATGACAATCTGAAACCACAGATTCTGGCTCTAAAAGCATGCACAGCTAGTGTCTCTCTAGAAGCTATTCACCATTAATCGATTGAAGAAATTATGTAGCAGCTTCAGGCCGGAGCGATTACGGTAAGCCTCGTTGAGCTCGACGGTGACGGCAGATGACGTCATATTCTGAAGACGGTGGGGCAGTGAAGGAGGCCTGCTTCTGCTTACGGGGGAACACCTAAGGAATATTCCGCCGTAAAACTTTCATTAACATCGGCTCCCTGTGCGACGAAAAGTTCGATGATGTGCGCCATGGGCAAAGTGTCTCTTTTTTTGGCCACCCCTGTATTATACAGTCCGCTTCAATCTGGAATCATATGGAACTGGCTACGCAGTGTGAAGAGGTTGACAGAACCGAAGAGGGTGTGCACTAATAAGAGAGAAGTCACTGTGAAGGGTAGTGGCGTTCATCATACAGCAATTTTCAGGCAACCTTAAAGGAATCTTTCACGGAAAAATCATGATTCTATTTCAGCCATAAATCACTGGCTTGAGACTCATCATCCACGATAAGAATGAAAAGAACAGAAAAATTGCATTTGTTTTGGTAAAAATTCGAAAAACCGAAAGGGCTGCTACGCGTTCAAAGTACCGCCGACATCTGTCACAAATGCTGGCGACGGGAATGCTTCCACTTGGTTCTTGGAGTGCCTTCACTAGAAACTCTTTCTGGCCTTTTGACTTATTGCATTCACATCTCACACTTCTACTGCATCCTATTCTATCGATCGATTTGTCTCTACTCTCCAAAATCGCACGCTTTAACCCGATTCTTTCATTGCGTCGCCTGATACGTAGCCGGCCAAGGCGGACTTCTTTCCATGCCCCGCCTTTGGCTCCGCCGCCTTTACCTTCGATTGTCCATAGTGTAGTTTTTGTACGTTTGTTTCTCTTCGGAAACCGAATCTTCATGCGTGAAACTTTGTGTGCTGTTTCCAGTGATCACAACTGACACATTCATGTTAAAAATGTCAAGAATTTTCCGCGAAGGATTCCTTCAAGGTGACATCACCTTGGGAAAATCATCGTGAAAATGGTAGAATGGAAATGTGTTATGAGTGTAGACCAGGGATTTGGTTTTGTTTACAGCATTGCTTTACGTGCATGGGGAGCGATACGAACCGCAACCACGGCTGCTTGAAGAAGAAGAGGTTGTGGATCACCATAAGACATCATAGCAGATGATCGCTACATTTCCAAGCAGGCGGGAATATGCCCACGTCAGTCGCAAACTTAAGTTACAAAAACATTTCTCAGGATGTGAGGCACGTAATCCCTGCCCCAATAATGGCACAGCGACCGCATGATGATGGCCTATGTGTCCAACAAATATTATCTGGTGTTTCATTGGAACCCGTGCATCGGCGAAAACAACACAGGTGCCGTGACATTAGGATTGCGCCAGCACAGCACTTAGCAGGAGCAAATTTAGTGTGAGTAGTGATTCTCAACTTACCCGCATACGATAAGAAGTAGAATCACGTAATGCACACAAGACATTGTCGAACATGATTGCTTTAATAGTCCAGATGGTGCGGTGTGGAGCACAAAGTTACCAGGGTGTTTTGCCCTCCACACTCGTTACGACGGTACACTTTACAGTCAAGCTTACTGTTGTGCTGTAGTCCTTCTTAATGTGCGTCTCTTCAGGCATGGTTCAATCCTAATTTCGCTCGCATAGAGGACAATGTGCAAGCGCATGACCATTTAGATGGAGAACTCTTAGAGTAAGAGGATATGGGCAATGGGTGAAGCCTGCCCGCCTCCCCCGCTGAAATTTTATCTAGCAAGTGTGGGTTGTATTCGGTAGAGCTATTGCAGCATACCCACATGTGGCAGTACTTGACCAGAACTGTAAATCGCAGTGTTCGGGAAATAGAACAGTCCTCCACAAGTACTCCTCACAATGTTGTGACTATATGAGATCATATAGCAGAGCATGTACTGTCCGTAGTGTTCACACACTCTATTGAACCATACTCTGTCTTCCAAAGTCTCACCACCAATTGGGGTGGCTTCATTTCTTCAATTGTTGCCATTGAAGAAACATCCGAAAGCTTGCAGATGGATGACAAAGGCCATGGAAAGTGATATTTCGCCGGCTTTTGTTTAGAATTTTGTATAAATTTTAAAAATACTGTCATAGAGACGATTTTTCTTAATCATGTGATTTCGGGGACTTCCTAAAAATTCTAACTATCAAGAAATTTTTACCCGGTTCACCGTTGCAATTAGCGCGTTCTTCCCTGTTTCTTCGAAAGTTTTCCGTACTTCTTAAAAAGTAGGGAGGATGTCGAGAACGAGGGAGAAGGGACAGTGGAGAGGCCAAATTATTAATATAAATAATCTAATTTATTTTAATTATATTATTATTTTTATTTTTATTTAATCTATTAATCAACACTGTTGGGAAGTGTGAGCGCCATTGAAATCAATAACATGAAGTTCAAACCGAAAGAATTTACTATAATTGCGAGCGCTCCGAAGTATTCATCTAACTCAAGTGGGTAGCCCGTGAAAGTGTTTTGTCCCCAGTTCAATTCGCGTCCGGCTACTTTGCTCTTCTATTACTAGTTAAGCGTCACGCAAAACAAAGCGGATGCATATCGAATAATTGTTCACAAAAATTACGGCATCAGTCAGTGCCTTCGTTGATATAGATGCTCCCAGACAATAAGCAGACACGCTAATTTGATCATTTCAGTGTAAGAATGGAATTTTGATGCGCTCACGAGATTGGCGCGATACTTGAGGTGATATTGTACGAAGACACATTTGAAACCTTTGAATACAAGTTGCGACTTCGACCACAGCTTTACCTGGCATGATGACATAGCACAGAATCGTGTCTCATACAGGTGTGCACAACGCTTGATAGGACCGTGTGGCTCATCTGGCAGGGCTGGGCGAATCACGTCACGATTTCGAACCGACAGTGCATAA